TGATTGTACGTACTTTAACTTCACAAGGTAAAATATCCTCATGCTTAATAACATGACCCAGGAATTTTGTTTCCGCTTTTCTAAGCTTGCACTTCTCTGTTTTATTAACATTAACATTTTTCTTCGCAAAATACTTCGGACTCGTCGGCCAGACACTATCAGCAACAACTTACAGTGGGAGAGAACAAACCAGATTCTAGTGGAGGAGGAAATCAGGAAGAAGCGGTGGAAGTGGATAGGACACACTACGAAAAGCACCTAACTGCGTCACAATGCAAGCCCTCACATGGAACCCTCAAGGTGAAAGGAAAAGAGGAAGGCCAAGGTACACAGTACGCCGAGAAATAAATGAGAAGAATGAACAAAAACTGGATGAACTAGAAAAGGAAGCCCAGGACAGAGCTGGTTGGAGAAAACTGGTGGGCGATCTATGCTCCATTTGGGGTAACAGGCGTAAGTGAGTATAACAGGCAAAAAATTAACTGCAGCTAATAATGTTTGCTACAAATAAAAGTCCACTGAAATTTGTCTATAGTCTTTCAAAGTACATATCTAGGGAAAGTCGTTATCGGCAATATACGACGATTTCGGTGTACTTATAGGGGATCCCGATTGTAGCTGCTACCTCGATGCTGCCTTCTCACAAGGAAGAAAGGGTTAGAAAAGGTCGGCCCTAAAAATGTCACACCTCCCCTAACTCACGGATTTCTGTCCCCTTGGGTAAGGGTGCCCACTAAGGGCCTTTAAGAACGGGGCTAATCCTTAAAATACCTCTCATAAAAAGGCCGTGCGTGACCGGCCTCAAGCAAATGTCCCTTGGACTCTGCAGTCACGCACCCAGGTCTCCAAGACCAACACTAATCTATCTTCCTTTTCAGGTCCCTCAAGAAACAACCTTCCACGGTGTGGGCAGCCGGGAAGTGACAACTGCCCTCATTCCCATAACAGCACGAGAGACCAAATTGGTCGAAATCAAATCCTACCTACACCCACACATACCTCACGTCTCTCCACAACTAACTGTACTCACATTCCCTTATCTGACTGCGCCGCTAATGCAAACGATGCGAGTTCACGAAACGTCATTCCTGGTCTCTTGAAACCTCTTTCTAGACTACATGTTGGAGCTTTTAATGTACGGACATTGTGTCGAATAGGGCAACAGGCATCATTAGCTAGGACTTTAGAATCTCGTTTCATCGATGTGTGCTGCATCTCGGAAACGCGCATACAGGATCCGAGTCGCATCATTCACTTGACCTCACCATGTCAAGATAAAGAAGCAGCTCGATTTACCCTTCGTGTATCCGGTAGCCCTGATGCTGCCTCCAGGGGCCTCGCCGGTATAGGTATAGCATTGAGTCGTAGGGCAGAACAATCTCTCCTTGACTGGATCCCTGTAGATAGTCGCTTGTGCGCCGTCCGACTGAACGGGACAGTAAGGGCTCGGAAAGATAGGGACACTCATCGTTGCCTCTTCGTCATATCAGCCTACGCCCCCACTGACTGCAGCCAAGATGATGTAAAAGATGAGTTTTACACAAAGCTTTCGGACCTCCTCCAAAAAGTTAAGCGCTCTGATATAGTTATAATGGCTGGTGACTTCAAAGCTCAAGTAGGTAGACTAAGTGAAAATGAAAGACACCTAGGTGGATCTTATGGTGTCGCGGCTCAAAGAACAGACAATGGCGACCGTCTGTTGCAACTGTGCTCAGATAACCGCCTATTTCTAGCAAACACTAATTTTAGGCATAAGGAAAAGCATCTCTTGACCTGGCGACCCCCCAAGTCGTCTCAACGTTGGACACAGCTAGATCATATCGCCATCAGCCACCGATGGAGGGGCTCGATAGAGGACTGTCGCTCGTTCTGGGGCACATGTTTAGATTCAGATCATGCCCTAGTGCGAGCACGTATTTGTTTGAGGCTTGATGGACGTAGGAAAGACACCGTAAGGAAGCCTCTTAGGGTTTTACTTAATCATAATAAAGCTAAAAATATATTTCAGGAGCAACTAGAAAGAGAGTGAGGCAACCATGTAGGCGACCCCCATCGGGAAGCAGGTCGGTATGATATCAAAATGGCTGTGGAAACAGCAGTGATATCTGCTAGTAAGGTTGACCATAAAGCAAGAATGAAGCCGTGGAACTCAGTAGCATCCACCGATCTGATGGATGTTCGAAAACTCATCCAACCTGGCTCTGAACATGATGAAGAACGAAGTCAACTTAGGCGCAGACTTATAAAAAGCCTACGTAACGATCGCGAAAAGTGGTGGGTGGCAAAAGCCAAAGCGATGGAAAAGGCAGCGGCGATAGGCAACAGTAGACAACTTTTCCGACTTATCAAGCAAACTGGTATTAGGAATCCTAGTGTAAGTGAGACTATCTCAGAAAATGACGGGACTATTATTTATTCTCAATCCAGGAGACTGGACCGATGGGCAGAACATTTTAAGGATCAGTTCAACTGGCCTCGAGCCACTCTTCGGTTACCCACGATCTCCAGTCATCCTGAATGGCAAATCGATTTAAGTCCTAAGACGTTGAGAAAGCGTTAGGAAATCTGAAGCGAGGACGAGCTGCAGGTCCTGATAGATTGACCCCTGAGATATTTATGGATGGTGGTCCTGTCTTAGCAGCTAGGTTGACTGATATCTTAGGTAGAATCTGGGAACTGGACGTAATCCCATCCGACTGGTCTCAGTCGCTAATTGTCCAAAGCTACATGAAAGGAGGAAAGTCCTATTGTGACAATCACAGGGGAATAAGTCTAACTAATATAGTATCTAAAATATTGTCCTCAATGATACTTCGGCGCCTAACGAAAGCTCGTGAAGAGCAAACTGGAGAAAACCAGTCTGGTTTTCGACCTGGACGTGGCTGTATAGACCACATCTTCACACTACGATAGGTCATGGAACGCAGACACACATTTAGACGTCCGACAATAGTCGTGTTCCTGGACATAAAAGCGGCATTCGACTCAGTGGATCGTGAGGTTCTGTGGCAGTGACCGTCAATGAAAGGTGTACCAAAGAAGTACATTAGCCTCATACAAGCTCTCTACTCGAATACCAGTGGTCGAGTGAGAGCTTATGGCGAACTGTCATCGGGATTCTCTACATCAAGTGGTGTCCGTCAGGGATGTCCACTTTCTCCATTCTTGTTTAATTTTATCATAGACATGCTCCTAGAAATAACCTTATCCTCGTCTGAATTTTCAGGAGTAGACCCTCTACCTGCTGGCTCGCTTATTGACTTAGAATATGCCGATGACATAGTCCTACTTGGTGAAGACGCTGACAAAATGCAGAGTCTTCTGACTACCCTAAGCAACAATGCAAGCATGTTCGGGATGCGGTTTTACCCCTCGAAATGCAAAATGTTGCTTCAAGATTGGGTTGCATCGGTACCTGAACTAGTGATAGGGAGGGAAGTAGTCGAACGTGTAGACCGCTTCACTTATCTCGGGAGTCTCATCAGTGCCGATGGCCTGGTGACTGACGAAATCTCAGCACGGATACAGAAGGTTCGATTGGCTTTTGCCAACCTGCGTCACTTATAACGTAGGCGAGATATCCGTTTGCTGACTTAACGACGAGTGTACTGTGAAGTGGTTCGCTCCGTCTTACTTTATGGCTGTGAAACATGGCCGTTAAGGGTAGAAGATATTCGTAGGTTACTGGTTTTCGATCATAGGTGTCTTCGAAGCATTGCTCGCATATCGTGGGACACCCGAGTGAGCAACGCTGTTATTAGGAATCGGGTGCTAGGTAGGAATGGAAGATCAATTGATAAAATAATGAAACTTCATCAGTTGAGGTGGTTGGGACATGTGTTGCGTATGCCCAACCACCGACTGTCTCGTCGAGCTTTGTTTTGTAGTGTAGGAATAGGTTGGAAGAAAGTTAGGGGCGGCCAAACCAAAACATTGCAGAAATCCATGAAGTCAATGACGAGTGGACTGAGCCATGTCGGTAGTTGTTGACTACCTGGTTGGGGTCCGCGAGATGATAATAATCGATGGTTAGAGACCTTGAATGACATGGCTCAAAATCGTTCGCAATGGCGCCGATGCATTTATTCTTTGTGTTCTCTCAAATCCTAACCTTCTGGGTTCTTCAACAACTCTAGTTTTGACTTTCTAAACTTTTCTCATTCAATCATACTTCTTGAATAATATCTTGTAATCCTAACCTCTCCGATTACTCCTAATACCTTTACTACCACTTCTGCTATTGGATTTGAATTGACAATTGCCTCTCTGTGCTGATGTGGTATGGCGACATGAACTGATGTACTTACGTACGAAGTTCTACGTTGCATCTGACTGACTGACTTAAAGGGGATATTCGAAACAGAATTATCCAGTAATTAGTGAAAGGATAACTTTGTTAAGTTACTATAGGTCGTCAGTCAAGTTTTGATGATTGTTATGTCGTTAAATATGACATACTTATACACTCTGGATGCATATAGAGCACCGACCGATTAATATGACAAATATAAGGATGAGGGGTACTGATCAGTAACTAGTGCTGTAGCATATACTTATTGTTAAAGAATTAATTAACCGCCAAGAAAAATTTTTGTTGGCACTACTTCTAAATCAAAATTCAGATTCATAAAATCGCAGTTTTATTTCACCTATTATGAAGCGACTTAATTACACGAACTCATACGGTCCCAGGTAAAAATGCCGTGCTATCTGGACAGCCACATACAACGATGAGATCTTACATAAAAACCCATGACCTAAACCGGAACACACTAGCACTTATCATGTAACAGGTAAATAAGGTTCTAACTTCATTAGTGACCAAAAATTATTCTGTAGTTCAGTCAGTCACAACGAAGAACTTCGTACATGAGTACACAATTTCAGGTTGCCATACCGCATCAGCACAGAGATGCACTGTCAGTTCGAATCCCATAGTGTAACTGCAAAATAAGTAGTGATATAAGGCAAACTGATAGTTTACATCGAATAGTATAACTAAACGAATGTATTGAGAAATATACAAAAGTACCGAACTATTCGTATAAAAAGCAATTATCATAAGCGTTCTTACACAAAAACAACAAAAAGCATGTACTATTAATAAACACAGTAATGAGAAAGGAAGAAAGACTTTACAGGGTATCTTAAAAGACTAGACAAATACGAAAGTTCAAATGACATTTTACAGCTAACAAACTACGAATTGCATATTTTAAGACGAAAAAGCGGCTTAACATATGTACAATGCTATCTGTATGTGCAAACTTAGGAAAGTGGTAAAAAAAGCACACCATGTAAAATTAATTATATAAAGCAGATATTCAAAAATAGTCATTTAGATCTGGCTTTACTCGTGTGTTTCCTTGTGGAAGACCAGCGGGTTTTACAGAAGAACGAGAATTCCCTGAGTTAAGACGTGAGTCTTCATGTTCCTCCCGTGCGCAAGGTTGCTTTTAAGAAACAAAAAATAAGAATGCGTTGACACATAAAGTCACGGACATTGATAACGAGATTGGACAGGTGATTCTTTACTTACTGCTAGTTTCACGTAATAAACAATACAAAAACTTATTGACTAGTTTAATAAAGAATTTGGTTGTTATAAAACATCTGGTGCAATGCTGAAAAATATGAACTCCAAAGTGAAGTAACATATGATAACCGTGAGCTTAAATACGGAAATATAATTAATGGTAATAAGTGTTCGGATTTTGCTCTTGTTGGTATTACGACACTAGGTTTATCAAGTTTTGTTCGAATAGTGGCTTTATGAAAGAACAAGTTCATGTTGGTAACAAATACTCGTTGATGATATACTGGATAACGATTAGTAAAGGGATCCAACGTATATACATATCGAGATGAAGACTGATAAAATCAATAATAAAATAAGCGATCACAGCTGAAATGTATTCATACATACATAATGTCACGTTTTTGTTTATAAGCTTTACTCATTAAACAGTGGAAATATATTGGTTGTTATAGTCTTATGAACTGCCAATAGTGGAAAAGCAAGAATCTATTAATAAGCTTTTATGAAGCGAAATTGTGTATACATATCGTAACACAGAAAGAGAATTTTACGATAAATATTTCAAACCTTATTTAGAGCAGCATTGTAACCAGCAGATGATGCCATCCTGTAATCTGATCCATGGGTACGATTAGGTTGATAATGTGCTTTATGTTCGCCACTTCCAGAATGAGAAACAGAACTCTCTATACGATTTGCCTAAATTTATATGTACGTAAACTTCCATGAAAGCATTATAAATAACGACAATCAAAAATTCTACATCATGAAAATAATACAAAAATAATGCGACACAGTGACCAGGTAAGAGACCCTATTTTCAAGGATTAGATGAACTGCTAAGGTGTCCCAACAGAAGTAGATAGGGCGGATCTCCAAATCATAACATGGTTGAGTTTTAATTACTAAGTCGTTTAGACTATGAGTGTGTTTATGATGTATGCTTGACATATAAACGCTGATATGCACAAGACGATGTAGTAAAAGGAAGTCTAAAATAAACAGCTTATATAAAGAACACTGATTTTTTTCTTAGGCAAACTGACTGGATAAGCGACGAGACCAAGGCAAGAACACCACACCACGAATAAAGCGTCTCAATAGTTAGAAGCCTAGTGTTATCACAAGTATAGAAAATGATGAGTTTGTCACCAAAATATTTACTAATTCACTGAGTTAACCGAAGCTCTAAATAGATGAAAGTGGCACATTAGTTAGTATTAAACAAAGGATTTCCTGTATCAATGTAATAAATATTTCTTGAGGATCAACATTTTTCCATTAGTATATTACCAGTACAAGGAGTGCATCATCCGTAACAAAATTTTTAAATAAGTAGACATAAAAATGTACGTTATCTGAAAAACTACGACATTTTAGAATAACGAACGCAAATTATTATTTGTACATGAGTATGCTGTAATCATGTCTTTCTGGCACGCCCGACTGAACGTATCGCATTACTTTAGTGTTAAAATCTAAGAATCTAAGGATCGTCCATTTGTTATCGATCAAAAAGAAATAAAATTTTTGTAGTAAACATGTCCTGGAAGGCAGTGAACTTACTGTACACTTTTGCCGAAATGATTTCATTTGAATTATTAGTCCTATTACTAAACTGGAAAGCGATACGGAACTTTGAGGTGGATATATATCCGTAAAGCGTGAGTGGAAAAATATAAATATCATCAAAACTAAACGAGTGGAAATCCGGGACGAACCCGGAAATCTAAATTAGGCTTCCGCCAGTCTGCATCACCTGACATACGCGGCATATCTAACTGCAACGAACGAAATAGTAGTCTTCTGTTTTCACTTATGTTAGAGAAACCTGATTTAATTTATATAGAACGTCCGTAAGCTACTGGCATTCGATCGCTAAAGCTATTGAAGCATAGCTGGCGACAGTTGAATGTTGACTCCGTGAAAACAGCGGGTAAATCGCTTGAGGCTTCACGAAACGTCCAGCTTTAAAGTATTTTGTTTCTACAAGCTTCATACAAGTCATCGTGCTTCAGTGTAGCCTGGATAACCACGAGTTTGGTAATAAACAGATTTTTATGTAACGCAATTTTAGTTTGCATAAGCAGCGAAAAGCCTAGTAGTGGAAGTGTGTTGATGTGATAGGAGTAGCACCTGTATTGAGTAACTGCCTGAAGCTTTTTCAAACTCGTCTGATCCACTGGCATCAAGATTTCTAAAGGTAGTGTGATAGACGAAAACGGTAAGATGCGAAAAGCAATCTATTGAAAGATAAATTACCAGCAAAATGAGTGCACCTTTAGATTTCATTTTCATAACAAGCTGACTCAGTTGAAAAAACAGGCGGACAGTGTATGATATGATGAGGTACGAAATAAAACTGGACAGGACAGTCATGTCTTTCTCGTTGAAGTCCTAGAGACGGAGCAACAGTGGCTCGAGACGTTATCAGATATCGCTAGAAACAGACGGCAGTGGTGGTTCAGCTCTAACTTTCTTTTAACTTCTACATAAAAGTGAGGAGAACTGAAATTATCCATCCTGGTTGTATTTTATTTGATATACAACTGCTTCTTCCATTACTTTTAATATTAGTGTATGTTTATTAGTACTCAACTATCCAAACATCTTACTTACTTACTCCAGTTACCCCCCCCCCACAATGAATCATAGGCCGCCAACCAGTTTTCTCCAACCTACTCTGTCCTGGGCCTCCCTTCCTAGTTCTGTCCAATTTTCGTTCATTCTTCTCATTTCTGTTTCCATTTCTTGGCGTAATGTGTTCCGTGGACTTTTCCTTTGTTCTTGATGATTCCAAGTGAGGGCTTGTCTTGTGACGCTGTTTAGTGCTTTCCTCTATATGTCATATCCACCTCCAGCGCTTTCTCCCGATTTCTTCCTCAGTTTCAATCTGGTTTGTTCTCTCCCACAGTAGGTTGTTGCTCATAGTGTCTGGCCAACGGATCCGAAGTATTTTGCGAAGAAAAATGTTAATAATCACTTGTATCTTCTGGATGATTGCTTTGGTAGTTTTCTAAGAATTCCGCTCCATACACTAGGATGGTCTTGGAAAGTATCGGAAATCCTAGCTTCGGTGTTGGTTGATAGTTGTTTTGAGTTCCAGATGTTCATCAATTGTAGAAATGTTGTGCTTCAGAAGCCGATCCGCGCCTTTACATCTGTATCAGATCCACGTTTGTTTATCAAAGATGCTGTCCAGGTATGCAGAGGTTTATACATCTTCCAAAGCTTCGCCATCAAATGTGATTTGGCTGGTGCATGCTATGTTGTATCTAAGGATTTTGCTTTCCCCCTGTGTATGTTGAGACCTACTGCTGCTGCACTGGTCGTCTTCTCCTGAATATTTTGTTGCGTGTGCGATAGAAGAGCTAGATCATTTGTGAAGTCCAGATCGTCCAGTTGCATCCCAGCACTCCACTGAATCCCGTGTTTCTCCCAAAATGCTGACGGCTTCATAATCCAGTCAACCACCAGGCGAAAGAGAAATGGTAGAAGTAAGCAACCTTGCCTGACACCGGTTTTCACCTCGAGCGAGTCTGTCAGCTGTCCTCCGTGCACGATTTCGCAGTTTAATCCATCATCCCATTCTTATTGTGGTACAACGATACTTTAGTACTTTACTTTACTTTCAGTAAATAGATCAATCAGTGATCACGAAATGTTCTAAATAATAAATTCTCTTTGTCGATAGTACTATAGAATGGTATGGGGCTAATGTGAACAGTGCAATTCTTTAATCACATAGTTATTACTTTATAATCATAGAAATAGTATACCGGGAGTTTAAAACTTGGATATCATTTTAACTCCACTTCCACAACAAACTAATAAAGTTAAGTTCCCAAGATTTACAAATACATGACTTACGCGTGTTGTTCCATCGGGATGATGTCCACCGGGCATGTGGGGTTGTGGTGATCGTCGACACTGATTTGGGAGTGGGCGATCAAATCGTTGACGCTTAGGATCCGGTTCACTATTCCCAGGACCTGGCGGACGGTTAGAATGGGATCTATTGAAATGTTCGTTTCCATATACATGTGATTGTGGAGCCCGACTGTGCCCATGATACGGAAAATTCATTTGTGCATTCTGGGAGCCACCTGTATGGCTTCGAGCGTGGTGATTTGGATGCTGAGATGGAATTTGAGCTGTATTAGAATTCGTAGAAACGTAAGGTCTTTTCTCTGTCTGCGTTAGAAAAAGCAACGTAAAATGAGCAGTTACTGATACTAATTATGAGTAGCACCTTACTAAGATATATGTCAAGCTCTCAACATAATGATGCTACATGAATTGCAGTCTACTTATGATTAAAATGTTAGTTAACTGGAACTTTTTGTGTAGTCCCAACTGGGATTACGTTGCTTTTTGCTTCCATGTTCAATTAACAGAAACGCTACGTATCATTGGATAGTACTCAACGTTTTTGATTGACATAGGGATTTTTGAGTTAGTGAGGTCTCGTAGGTGCATCCACTCTTTGTGTTCTCTCAGTTTCTAAAACTCTATACTCTTCATCACCCTTATCTTCCTTTTTTGAATTTATTTTACTGAATTATACTTCTTGAATGATTTCTTCGAACCCTAGTCTTCTCCATTACGGCTAATACTTATATTATGGCTACCACTATTGGATTTGAACTAACAATGGCATCTCTGTGCTGAAGTGGCAAGGCAACCTAGACTGATGTACGTATGTACCAAGTTCTACGTTGTAACTGACTGACTGGTCTCTTCGTAACTATTTATTTTAAGGGATTAGCAAAATGGATTAATCGTGATTCCAGTGGCACTTTTGGATGTGTGCTGAGTCTCGGAAACGCGCATACAGGATCCGAGTCGCATCATTCACTTGACCTCACCATGTCAAGATAAAGAAGCAGCTCGATTTACCCTTCGTGTATCCGGTAGCCCTGATGCTGCCTCCAGGGGCCTCGCCGGTATAGGTATAGCATTGAGTCGTAGGGCAGAACAATCTCTCCTTGACTGGATCCCTGTAGATAGTCGCTTGTGCGCCGTCCGACTGAACGGGACAGTAAGGGCTCGGAAAGATAGGGACACTCATCGTTGCCTCTTCGTCATATCAGCCTACGCCCCCACTGACTGCAGCCAAGATGATGTAAAAGATGAGTTTTACACAAAGCTTTCGGACCTCCTCCAAAAAGTTAAGCGCTCTGATATAGTTATAATGGCTGGTGACTTCAAAGCTCAAGTAGGTAGACTAAGTGAAAATGAAAGACACCTAGGTGGATCTTATGGTGTCGCGGCTCAAAGAACAGACAATGGCGACCGTCTGTTGCAACTGTGCTCAGATAACCGCCTATTTCTAGCAAACACTAATTTTAGGCATAAGGAAAAGCATCTCTTGACCTGGCGACCCCCCAAGTCGTCTCAACGTTGGACACAGCTAGATCATATCGCCATCAGCCACCGATGGAGGGGCTCGATAGAGGACTGTCGCTCGTTCTGGGGCACATGTTTAGATTCAGATCATGCCCTAGTGCGAGCACGTATTTGTTTGAGGCTTGATGGACGTAGGAAAGACACCGTAAGGAAGCCTCTTAGGGTTTTACTTAATCATAATAAAGCTAAAAATATATTTCAGGAGCAACTAGAAAGAGAGTGAGGCAACCATGTAGGCGACCCCCATCGGGAAGCAGGTCGGTATGATATCAAAATGGCTGTGGAAACAGCAGTGATATCTGCTAGTAAGGTTGACCATAAAGCAAGAATGAAGCCGTGGAACTCAGTAGCATCCACCGATCTGATGGATGTTCGAAAACTCATCCAACCTGGCTCTGAACATGATGAAGAACGAAGTCAACTTAGGCGCAGACTTATAAAAAGCCTACGTAACGATCGCGAAAAGTGGTGGGTGGCAAAAGCCAAAGCGATGGAAAAGGCAGCGGCGATAGGCAACAGTAGACAACTTTTCCGACTTATCAAGCAAACTGGTATTAGGAATCCTAGTGTAAGTGAGACTATCTCAGAAAATGACGGGACTATTATTTATTCTCAATCCAGGAGACTGGACCGATGGGCAGAACATTTTAAGGATCAGTTCAACTGGCCTCGAGCCACTCTTCGGTTACCCACGATCTCCAGTCATCCTGAATGGCAAATCGATTTAAGTCCTAAGACGTTGAGAAAGCGTTAGGAAATCTGAAGCGAGGACGAGCTGCAGGTCCTGATAGATTGACCCCTGAGATATTTATGGATGGTGGTCCTGTCTTAGCAGCTAGGTTGACTGATATCTTAGGTAGAATCTGGGAACTGGACGTAATCCCATCCGACTGGTCTCAGTCGCTAATTGTCCAAAGCTACATGAAAGGAGGAAAGTCCTATTGTGACAATCACAGGTGTATAAGTCTAACTAACATAGCTTCTAAATTGTTAGCCTCGATTATAACTTAGACGTCTAACTAGAGCTCGTGAAGAGCAGACTCGAGAAAACCAGTCTGGTTTTCGACCTGGACGTGGCTGTATAGACCACATCTTCACACTACGATAGGTCATGGAACACAGACACACATTTAGACGTCCGACAATAGTCGTGTTCCTGGACATAAAAGCGGCATTCGACTCAGTGGATCGTGAGGTTCTGTGGCAGCGTGTGATTGAAAGGTGTACCAAAGAAGTACATTAACCTCATACAAGCTCTCTACTCGAACACTACTGGTCGAGTGAGAGCTTATGGCGAACTGTCATCGGGATTCTCTACTTCAAGTGGTGTCCGTCAGGGATGTTCACTTTCTCCATTCTTGTTTAACTTTGTCGTAGACATCTTCTTAGAGTTAACATTAGGCTCGTCAGATTTCTCAGGGGTTGACCTTCTACCAGGAAAGTCGCTTACTGATTTAGAATACGCCGATGACCTAGTTCTATTCGGTGAAGACGCTGACAAAATGCAGTCTTCTGACTACCCTAAGCAACAATGCGAGCATGTTCGGGATGCGGTTTTACCCCTCGAAATGCAAAATGTTGCTTCAAGACTGGGTTGCACTGGAACCTGAACTAGTGATAGGGAGTGAAGTAGTCGAGCGTGTTGACCACTTCACTCATCTAGGGAGTCTCATCAGTGCTGATAGCCTGATGAATGACGAAATCTCAACGCGGATACAGAAAGCTCGATTGGCTTTTGCGAACCTGCGTCACTTATAACGTAGGCGAGATATCCGTTTGCTGACCAAAGGACGGGTGTACTGCGCAGCAGTTCGCCCCGTTCTCCTATATAGATGCGAAACATGGCCGTTAAGAGCAGATGTTCGTAGGTTACTAGTATTCGATCATAGATGTTTAAGAATCATTGCTCGTATATCGAGGGACAACCGAGTAAGCAATGCTGTCGTTACGAAACGAGTACTAGGTAACGATGGCAGATCAATCGATGAAGTGGTGAAACTTCATCAGTTGAGGTGGTTTGGACATGTGTTACGTTTGGCTAACCACCGACTGCCTCGACGAGCTATGTTTCGCAGTGTAGGAGTAGGTCGGAAGAAAGATAGGGGCGGCCAGACCAAAACATTGCAGAAATCCATGAAGTCACTGACTAGTGGACTGAGTCATGTTGGTAGATGTAGACTACCTGGTTGGGGTCCGCGAGACGAAAGTCACCAGTGGTTAGAGACCTTGAACGACATGGCTCAAAATCGTTTGCAATGGATCAAGTGCACCCATTCTTTGAGCTCTCTCAAATCCTAATCTTCTGGATTCGTCAGCACCTCTACCTTTGTCTTTCTAACTTTATCTCACGCAATATACTTCTTGAATAATAGCTTCGAATCCTTGTCTTCTTCATTACGATTAATACCTCTACTATCTTTATCACTATGGGATTTGATTTGACATTTGCGTCTCTGTGCTAATGTGGTGTGGCAACATGAACTTATGTACATACGTACGAAGTTCTACGTTGCAACTGAGTGACTGACTGACTTTTGGATATTCATTTTATCTTGCATTAAAAACCCAATAAATTTCGAAGTCAGAGATTCATTATTTTGTTTGTTCTCTACTAATCAATGGTCTTTCACGTATATTTTGTTGATGAAGACATTTTTCCGTACAGTTACGAAGTATGGCTACCAGAAAAGGTGTCATAAAGTGAGGTTAAAACCTAAAAAGTAAGCGCCTCATTACCTCTTATAGTGTGTTGTTTTAGTCTTATCCTTTTGAGTTTGTACTGTCCTAATTAATCAACTATAACACACACTGTTATGGACGAGTAAGAGTCAAATGTTTGTTGAGCTTTAGAATTTAATGACACACTTACATGGAGAATTGAGTCACTAACGACATTATAGATACTTTGTGAGTTCCTCACGGTTAAAAAACTAAGGTTCAATATGTATATAGAAGCAGTTTAACGAGACCAGAGACAGTTAATAGTAAGCTTGAGTTAATTATCTGATTGGATACGCGGTAAAAAGAAGACCTAGTTTGAAATAGATTGATAAAACAAGTGGAAATACTATGAAATGGAGCGCCTCGATGATGAACAAGATTAACATGAGTAGTGTTAAAAGTGTACTTTCCCAGTAATCCGAAACGCCAAAAGGACATTAAAAAAAATTAAACAGATTAGCAGCTGAAATATTATTTGATTTGAGTGACCACGCAGGTCGAAGTCAGTCACATGGTCATTTTAAGACTTGATAGATTCACCAGGTAAAGGCTTATGTTCTTAATTATGACCCAGTTTACGAGGGCGCTAGCAATACTAACCATATGCTTAAACTGAAGCATTCAGTTCTAAAGTATTGCGATTTCTGCAGTAATGACTTTACTATGGCTACATCTTGGTACCATCAGGAAATCTGTTCTTTCTAAAGAAATGATGCAAATATACTGTTTTCAATCTGTAAAGAGGTGCTTGCGATCGTGCACCAGTTTAACAGTGTCAGACTCGTTCATAATAACCCAGTTGCTATAATGATTTTGGGAAATTAGATAGCTTTTATATGTTTTATATCACCCAGACAGACTCCATAGTGCGAATTATTTTTTTGAATTTACAATGTGTAGTAGTATTAGAGATAGAATATGTAAATGGTTGACCACGAACCCATAGATGTTTTGGTGGTACAAAGCATGAGCTGCAGCTTTTGATAACACTGCAGACGAACCCTTTTATCAAAGTAAATCTAATTCAATAGTTTTTCTCGAACTAAACCATACTTTTTTGCTGA